TTTTTGGTTTTTATCCTTTGGTATCATCTCAGATAAAAGAAAGAAATGTAAGAGAGCAGAAGGCACACAAGGTCTAAGAGCTGATGTCCTGAATTCTAATTTCCAGGTCTCTGGGAAGCCAGTGTCTGGTGTGAGTATGAAGTGAGTAGCCCTACTTCATCACCAAGATCCTTTGACTACTAAGGCCACAAGGACTCCCTCTCCCTATTCTTCATAAATTCACCTCCTTTATTTTAAAGGTGCATCCCCCCACCCCATAGCCTTTCAAATTCAGTTTGCAGCTCATTCCAAAAATGGAAAAATACTCTGGTATTTTTCTCAAACTGAGGCTCCTCCCCGGGTGCAGCCACTTGTACGACAATGGGCTTTGCTGAGAGCCACCGAGTCCAGCCCCACACTGGGGGTTTCTTGTTTCTTTGTTTCGTCTTTTTTTCCCCCAGTTGTAAGTAGGCAGACCTGTGCTCCGCAAGTTCAGATAAAACTTCTCTATCTTGGTGAACTTCCTAACAAAAGAAATGATCAGAGCAGCCCAACCTTTTGTAAGCTTATTGCTGTGGCCTTTTAACTTGTGATTTTACCATATATGAAGGCTTCATTATGGTTTTTCATAAACTGGATTTTCTTTTTCCTTTCTTTCAGTATTATTTGGGTATTTAATTTTCTTGTCTTTTGGGCCTACTTCCAAGGGCCTAGCAAGGGGGCTGTTAGTAAGCTTCTCTCTTATTTGATTCTTTTTTTTTTTTTAAAGAGTTTATTTATTTATTCATGAGAGACACAGAGCAAGAGAGAGGCAGAGACACAGGCCTAAGGAGAAGCAGGCTCCATGCAGGGAGCCCGACGTGGGACTTGATCCCGGGTCTCCAGGATCACGCCCTGGGCTGAAGGCGGCTCTAAACCGCTGAGCCACCCGGGCTGCCCTCTTATTTGATTCTTATAGGATTCTCAACCTTGACTGCACATTGGAATCCTTGGTGGGGGGGTCGGGGGGAAGGATGGGTGGGCATCTAAGAACACCTGTTTTTCACCTCCAGCATATCTGCCTTAATTGGTCAGGGGTGCAGCCTGGGTATCAGGATTTTTAAAAGCTGATAAGGTTAATTCAAAGGTGTGTCTGAACTGGGTGTTATATGTTGGCAAATTGAATTTAAATAAAAAAAATTAAAAACAAAACAAAACAAAAAAGTGCATCTGAGATTGAGAACCACGGCACTGGATTTAGTGGTTCAAACTCTACTGTGCATATAAGCCTCCTGGGGAATCTTGCTAAACTGTAGATGCTGAATCAGTGCACCTGCGGTACGGGCCTCAGATTCTGCGCTCCGAACAAGCTTCCAGGGAACACGCTGCTGGTCGAGGACCACACTTCCCACAGCACCAGAGGAGTCCATCCACTTCCAACTGTCCTTTTTTTTCAAACCAGGACTCATTAGCGCTCGCCTTCATTCTTTTCCTGTCTTATCCCTACAACGTTCACACATGACTCAATAGGCCGCGCTGGTATTTTTGCATATATGCTGCTGTTTTGTTGTGATAGTGAAGATTCAGTTTCCACGTGAAAGATTCTCTGAAAAAAGCAAAAGGCTCCCAAAGAGTAGGGGGCAACTGCTGATCTGGGGGGGGGGGTCCATCTAGAACTGAGTTGGGATGAAGATGATTTTAGGTTGAGGACATTTGGGTTCAACAGGTGCAGAAAGAAATCTTTGTGGAACTTCGTTTAGCTGCTTGGAAGTGGCAACTTCTGGAAAATGAGATTGCCGTTCTCTCCTCTGGGCAGCTGTCACTCCCAGGAAGGAGATGGAGAGTAAGCGTACTAAACGTGCTCTCCCAGGGGACTTTGGCCTTGAAGAACACAGAAAGACCATTCAGAGCTGCACAAACAGCACTATTGCACACTTTCTTATCTCCTTTTTTTTTTTTTTTTTTTTTTTAGAAATCCATTTGTTTTTCCCATGGAAGCCTTTTCTCCTCCTTCCTTTTTCTCTACTAGTAAGGCATTATAACAACTAACCATTAATTGAGCTACTTCTGTGAGCTCCTGTATGCACAGGAACATTTTTTTTCTCCTGTTAATATGCCTTTTATCAGGTGTTTGTTTTTTGTTTTTGTTTTTTTTTTTTAGACAAGGCAAAGACGGAGAGAGAACCCTAAGCAGGCTCTACACCCCAGCATGGAACCCAATGTGAGCTCGATCTCATGACCCTGAGATCATGACCTGAGCCGAAACTGGATTCAGATGCTTAACCGACTGAGCCACCCAAGCACCCCTGCCTTTTATCAGTTTAATTTGCAGGCCCCCATAGACAGAACATGAGACAACAGAGGGAAAGTTCTTCTTCTCTGACACTAGTAAGTATCCTTCCCTTATTTTTCTCTGTTCTCTGTGCAGCCCTCCACCCCCATTCTCTCATTTTCTTTAAAGAAAAAAAATCCAATTATGTTATCTAAATAGGCCTTCTGCTTCATAGTTCACAAGCTATTTTCTATCCCTTTAATAAAGTTCATGAGATAGACACACATATTCTTCTAGAAGTATCCCCCAAATATGGAAATGGCTGGCAAAGAGGTTGATGCAGCGGCCGGCCAACACCAGGTGAGGACTCTGCTCAATGCAAGTGGCAATTCTCTGCAAATGGACCTTTTGTGACAATGCAACCATAATATCGGGGTTACAAATATTTGATTTAAACATTGAGGGGCACCTGGGTGGCTCAGTCAGTTCAACATCTTGCCTTCAGCTCACGTCATGATCCCAGGGTCCTGGGATCGAACCCTAAGTCAGGCTCCCTGCTCAGCGTGAAATCTGCTTGTCCCTCTCTCTGCCCCTCCCCCTGCTCCTGCTCTCTCTCTCTTTCTCTCAAATAAATAAGATCTTTAAAAAAAATAAACATTGAGGGATCCCTGGGTGGCGCAGCGGTTTAGCGCCTGCCTTTGGCCCAGGGCGTGATCCTGGAGACCCGGGATCGAATCCTGCGTCGGGCTCCCAGTGCATGGAGCCTGCTTCTCCCTCTGCCTGTGTCTCTGCCTCTCTCTTTCTCTCTCTCTCTGTGTGACTATCATAAATAAAAAAAATAAATAAACATTGAATAATTACACAAATGTTCCCTACGTACATTTTCACTATGTCAATCACAAGAATGAATCTGTGACACATAAAGGTTTTTTTAAAAAAACAAATGGTTTTTTTTTTTTTTTTTTTTTTGCATCTAGAGGTTTTTGAAACAGGTTTCTTGGCAGCCGCTGTGGACCACACACGCTCATGGCCTCTCGCAGGAAGTACCTGGAACCGCACAGGAACCTGCGCGTTTCAAAGATCACGCATGGTCTCCGTTTGCTCTGGCATCTGGAGGAACCGATCTGAGAAATCTCTATTCCTCGGTCGCCCCAACATAGGTCTTTTCTCAGCTCATATTTTCACTCCTACTTTTCTTCTCCTGGCATGAGGAATGCTTTCCTTTGTTCAAGGCAGCCCATGAGGAAAACCTGGCCCACTCTGTAATCCTAACAACATTCATGAAAGAGAATTCTTTCCAAGTACCCTTGGCACACAGCACCCCTCATCGTGTTCTGGGAATCCATGTGTGAGGGAAAAAGAGGACTGTTTAGTCTGTAAATTGGCCATTCTGACAATGGGGCAATTCTGGCTTCCTCTGGAGCTTTGTAAAGCTTGGCCGCACAAATCCTGGCAAGCAATCACAGTGACAAGAGCTGCGCCGCAGCCGATAAACCCCCGAGCATGGGCTGGAATGCGTGGAAGGCAATCAAACGGGTGACGTTTACGTGATGAACTGTTATGAGTTAGAAGTTAGGATGGGGGAGACTTTGGAACCTCGACTGGACGTTCAAGCCTCATGGCAAATCGCGTCTGGTATAATAATAACCACATCGTTAATACGATTGCTGTTAAGCTTCGCAAAAGCTTGCTGCACCTCTATGACCACGCTGAGTGCTTTAGTTCATCGTCCCAGAAAGAACTCTGTATATTGGGCCTCTTATCTCCATTTTATTCATTGTTCCTCCTCATCAAGGAGATGAGGAACGAGCTCAGGAAGCATGCCCATGTTTGACCTGCTAATGAGACAGTGATGGAGACATGGGGACTGTTAGATTTGGAACTCACAGAGAGATCACCCCCACTCTTCACTTTATGGGTGACAACGCAGAAGCCCGGGGAGGTCACCCAAGTGGCCCAAGGTCAGGCTGGGTAGAGGAGAGAGTAAGACCTATGGCTCTCTGCCACTTGGTGTCACAGGCATGCTGAATTTGCTCCCAATTAATTTTGCGGCCAAGAGCCGTAGCCTTACTGTAGGGCCTGTCCTTCCAAATTACATCTCTTATCACCACCAGGAGTGGGACTAAATCCCCGGAGTCCTATAAGCTTAAATGGACCTCTTAAAATCTGGAAGGCTACAGGATTATTCACATAAACACAGGGTCAGGAGATGGATCTCTGTGTTGCTTTAGGCCAATCTTTTCCAGGGCGCCTGCACGGTGCATTGGGTTAAGTGTCTGACTCTTGGTTTCAGCACAGGCCCTGATTTTGGGGTCGTAAGATCGAGCCCCGAGTAGGACTCCGTGCTCAGCACAGTGTTGGCTTAAGCCTTTCTTCCTCTCCCTCATCCCCTCAAATAAATAAATAAATTTAAAAAAATAAATCTTTCCCCTGGTAGTAGACCTTGACTGTGGGGCTGCAGTGAGAGTCATCAAGGCAAGGACCAGGTGATCCGAAAGTCACATCACAGACATCAGTTTTGGTGTCTCCCAAATTCGCGTCAATGAGGAATAGTCAACAGTTCCCATGTTTCTTACCTTCACCTTATTGTTCTTGGCTCTGAGGCCAGCTGACGGTCGTAACTTTTGAGCACCTGGTATGTGCCAAGCACTCCTGGGCTCACACGTTCCCTCATTGCCTTGATCCTCCAACAGCCTTACCAGTTCTGTTACGAACCCCACTAACGGACGAAGAAACTGAGGTTTAAAGAAACGAAACAAGCCGGCCTTACCTGAATCCAAGTGATCTAAGTGCCAGGGGTCGGTGGCGGACGACATGGGTGACAGGGTCAGCGGGGAGGCTCCGCAGTTGGACTCCACCAGTTCGCCCTGGATGTGAACGTGAGCCGAGGCGTTTGTCTGCCTCAAGGCCGCCTTGAGGGGCGCAATCTGGTTGAACTGCACTCTGGAGAGGCACCCAGTGAATCCCGGGGTGTTGTATTTGTGAATCTCTTGGTCAATCTTCCCTGTTTCTAAAAGAGAGAGAAAGAGAAAATAAACATCTTCTCCTGCTCACCGTATTCCCGCTGTAAAATATCCTCGTCTTTGAAGGCCCGTGTCCAAATCTTACTGTGGGTTTCAGTTTAAGATGTTCTATTCTCTTAGATGAAATATTAATGACTCGATGGAGCTCAGGGCTGGAGACTTCGTGGGAAAAGAGACTCCTGTGTTACTAGAGAACGAGTAGGGTGAGGAGAATACGATTCTATTTGGTAAAATACGCACATAATGACCTTCCCGATACCTGTGGTTTTGTTGAAACCAACCACATTCACTTGGTTCTGATTGATCTTTCTCCTCCTTTCCCTCTTACATAGGTCAAACAAGGCCCCCTCCTGGTGAATTATGCTTCTGTTCTGTACCCCATTTCTACTTTCTTCTTCGGAATTCTTTATTTAAAAAAAAGAAGTAGAGAGCGTTCCCATAGCCTGTAATAGAGCGTCTTCTTTCTTTAGCCTCCAATGCCCGTGGAATTCTGAGGTTTTTAGAATCTCAGCAAGTTTTTTTTTAAATTTTTTTAAAGATTTATTTATTTATTTATGAGAGAGAGAGAGAGAGAGCGTGTGAGCGAGAGAAACAGGAGGAGGGAGATGCAGGCACCATGCATCAGGAGCCCGACGTGGGATTTGATCCCGGGACTCCAGGATCGTGCCCTGGGCCAAAGGCAGGCGCTAAACCTCTGAGCCACCCAGGGATCCCCCCTCCCAGCAAGTTTCTGATGGAGGTTTTGGCAGTCAGGAAACTTTCCCAACTCAACTACAAACATCCATACACACCTGAGAATCCCTACCCAGTCTGTGAGCTTAACATCTTCCTAAAAACTCACAGTCAAATCAGAGGGGAATTTGAGGAGAGCTACCGTTCCAGTTAATACAACCAGTTATATCGTCTTACCAGTTGGATCAATAATAGAGTCTTTTTTGACCATCCATCTTGAGTTTTACAATCTACGTGGTAGAAATGAACGTTGAGGGAGCCCTAGACCTTTCGTATTGGTGGTTCTCACAAATGTGGTTTCTGGACTAGCAATGAGCATCACCTGAGAACTTGAGAGGCGTCCTGCGGGTGGGGCCTGGCAGTCTGCATCCCCAAGCCCTCCAGGTGACTCTGTGGCCTGCTAAGGCTTAAAAACCATGGCATAGGCTGTGACTGTGCAGTGCCACCAACCCAGGTGGTGGGCCAAAGGCCCTTCAGAGAAGAGCACGACAACTTGTGTTCTGGACAGGAGATTATGCTAACGTGATGACTCTTTTATTTTATTTTTAAAGACTTTATTTATTTATTCATGAGAGAAACAGAGAGAAGCAGAGATATAGGCAGAGGGAGAAGCAGGCTCCTTGCAGGGAGCCCGATGCGGGACTCGATCCCAGGACCTCGGGATCACACCCTGAGCCAAAGGCAGAGGCTCTATTGCTAAGCCACCCAGTCATCGCATGATGACTCTTTTAAAACCAAGGACAAGGATGTGAAGTATTTACCCTTCCACTTGGACTATGAAAAACACAGACTTTGGGCAACAGAAGGGTACCTACTTCTTTAAAAAGTTGGAATCAGAGCAAGTGATGTTTCTTACTGGGGAATGAACTCGGGTGAGGTAGTCTTATAAAAATTTACTGCCCATTCAGGAAAGAATAAACCAGTACAGAAGGGAGCTTTTAGGCCTTGGGGGCACAAGTGAATGTATCGATTATTTGTCATATTGAAGAATGAGTTCAGTGACCGACCTGTAGTAATCCCATGTGAATTTTGATGAACAGGAGAGACGGGCAGCAGGGAATGGTAATGCTGGGTATTTTTTTTTTTTTAAGATTTCATTTATTTATTCATGAGACTCACAGAGAGAGGCAGAGACACAGGCAGAGGGAGAAGCAGGCTCCCTGCAGGGAGCCTGACGTGGGACTCGATCCCAGGACCCCGGGATCACGACCTGGGCCGAAGGCAGACGCTCAACCACTGAGCCACCCAGGTGCCCCAGTGCTGGGGGTTTTAACAGGGGCTCACTCGGACAAGTACATAAAGAAATTTTAATTAATGATTCCCCATAGTTTTCTCCTGCAGTACATTTCAGTCTGTGACGTTGAGCGAGTGCATGTTCCAGTTAGGATGGGGAGGCGGAATGTACCTGTGACTGAACAAAAATCCCACAGTCAGGATGTCTCTTTGATGACAGGGAAGAGGCTCTAGTCCCACTGACACCTCACTGACTGTTCTCTTTTTCTTCCTGTTTTCTCCTCAATGATTACAGGATTATTGAGTGAATGAACAAACACATTGATTCATGGAATGAATGAATACGAATTCAATGATTCGTTCTTCGTCTCCTGGTCTAGTATCAGAATTTCTTGTTCTGGGTTCACCAACTTGCCTTCCATGCAAAGAGTTCCTATACTTGGTTTCTCTCCTCTCCTCCCAGCAATCTGCCTTCCTTTGAAACATCTTCAGACCAAGGAGACTCAGGCTGACTCTGTTCCCAGGCTGGGAAGGGAGACCTCGGCTCCTGGCTGTCCCAAATTCCTACCAGGCTAACGTCTGTGGTCAAGGCACCAGAACAAGTGGCTGTTTGGTGGTAGGAAACTGGGAGCCTCTTCAGCTCAATCTGCTGCTTCTCATCCATAAATGGAGAGTTCTTTTTTAGCCTGCCCAGTCTTGGAGTAGGGCTCAGGAAGGAAGAATTCCGGGGCTGGCAGCTACTGCCATCTGGTGGGACTTCAGTTCAATTCAATTCAATTCAATTCAATTCAATTCAATTCAATTCAATTCAATTCAATTCATTGCATGGATTCAGTGCCTGGCAGCAGTAGCAGGAAGACAGAGATAAATACAGAACTTTACCCTGAGTAGCTCACAACATAGCTGGGGAAACAAGCACGCAAACAACTAAGTGTAAAAAAAAAAAAAAAAAAAGTTAAAAAAAGTAAAAAAAACAGAAACAAAACAAAACAAAAAAACAAACAAAACCAAACCACTAAGTACTCCAACTGGACAAACGCTGTACGAGACCAAGAGTTAACAGGTACTGAATCTTTAAAATTAGATGCTTTAAACAAATGCTAGATGTTTTCTACAAATTAGACACTTCATACCCAGAACAACCATATGGAAAAGGGAGCATCATCATTCCTAGGGAATGTACGGGAAAACTGAGGCTTATGCTCTAGACCCCTTGGCTGGTGGGGCTGGCCAGGCTGACGCCAGAGCCTCTGGCACCGTGATTTTCTGAGCTGAGAAACAAAGCATGTATTTGGCAAAATTATCAAAGTCTACGGTAGATCCGGGAGGCAAGTTTGCTTGGGGTTCTGGAGAGCACTTTAGGGGAGGTATTGCTAGAACGAGGGTGGTTTTGGGTTTTGTCTTGTTTTGCGGTTAAGAACACTTTTAACATAAAATCTATCCTCCTAACGCATTTTTAAGTAGGACGTATAATGTTGTTAACTCCTCTTGCAAAAGTGAAAACAGTGTGTCCTTTGCCCCATACCCTGCAGCCCCTGGCAGCCAGCATTCTACTCTCTGCTTCTGTGAGTTTGACTAGTTTCGATTCCTGATATAAGTGGGACTAGTAGTTTGTTCTTCTGCATCTGGCTTATTTCACTTAGCACAATGTCCTCCAAGTTCATCCCTGTTGGAGCAAATGGCAGGATTCCCTTTTCTTTCTTTTTTTTTTCTTAGAGGTTTTATTTATTTATTCAAGAGAGACACAGAGAGAGAGGCAGAGACATGGGCAGAAGGAGAAGCAGGGTCCCTGCGGGGAGCCTGATGTGGGACTCCATCCCAGGACCCCGGGGGTCACACCCTGAGCCAAAGGCAGACGCTCAACCGCTGAGCCACCCAGATGCCCCTGGATTCCCTTCCTTTAAAGGCTGAATAATACTCCACTGTGTATATGAACATTTAGCTTGTGTTCAAATTTTTGCTATGGATGAATAATGCTGCAAGGAACATGGAGCGCAGATGACTCTTCGAGAACCTGATTTTAATTCTTTTGGGTATATACACACCCGGGAGTAAGACTGCTGGGTCCATGGTGATTCTAATTTAAATTTTTTGGGGGGAACTTCCACACTGTTTTCCACAGTGGTTGCACCCTTCTACACTCTCAGCAATTTCTCTACATCTTCACCAACGCTTCTGTCTTGCAGAACTAGGCTTTGAGAATAAAAAGAAAGAGAACTCCAGGTTGAGTTTGTTATGAGTTCAGTTACGTTCTGGGACCTGTGGGAGTCTGATGGGGTCAGAGCTCAGGGCCAGATTGGGAAGAGCCTTGAACGCCACCTTAAGATGTTTGTAGTTAAGTTGGAAGCTCAAAGATGTTGAAGCTGCAGAAGACTGTGATGGAAACTGTGTTAGAAAGAGAATTCTAGTGACGGCACAGCACCTGCTCTGTGCAAGTGGTCCCATGAGCCACCCCCCCCAGGCCCCTGCAGACTTCCTGGGCTAAGACAAGCACCCTTGTGGCCGTAGGGCTGCAGTAGGGTTAGGCCGTGGATGGGGGTAAGCGCCTTGTCTGTCACCAGCATCCCCTTGCCCTTTGCGAAGCTGTGATACAATCTGTAGTGAGTCAGTTCTGGTTTTGTTGCCTCTGCTAGAGATTTGGGTAGGGAGCTTCTGACTCCAGCTCATTTCACAGGGTCCCTAACATAGCTCTCCGACCTTTCCGTAAGGCAAGCTTCCCTATCACCCTCAGAAAATGAACAGTTTCAAAGCCATATCTGTCTGAGGGCTCCAGTTTAACGTGGGGTGAAAGAAGTGTCCCCTTCTGAATATCTCCCTCTGAGATGACAGACACAAGGCAGATGGCCAGAGGCAGGCCCCAGGAAGGGGGTTCAGATGTGGATCAGGGACCCCCCCGATGCGGGGAAGGAGCAGAGGCTCTCAGGCTCGGCTGGAGGGGGCTGTGAGCACTGGTAGAAATGTCAGCTGGGGACGCCCGGGTGGCTCAGAGGTTGAGCATCTGCCTTCAGCTCAGGGCGTGATC